TTTGCTTAACCCAAAAGATTATTGTTTGTCCCTCTCTCCCGTTGCACGGTATATCAACTTAAAGTTTGTATCCGTATTTCTTCTTCTGTAAAAAGATTAGCTCTCAGTTTTATAAACCATACGTCTATTTTTGCTCTTATCGTGTTGACTCTTGTTTCCTGAGTGTTAACTTCTAATATGTTTCGCTTTTTTCTCTTTGTTTCTTTAATGAGCTATTTTCGAAGTAAGTCCATCTCTCTTGTTAAGACTCCCTATAGCCCATTTTAACTTTGGTCAGGTTGGAGGAACCACCGACAATATAGAAGAAACTTGTGCAACCTTTGCTACTCGTGCCTTAGGGTTAGAAGTGCCCTTGAGGACTACCCATCAGATTGATAATTGCAGTGAAGGATGGTGAGTCACACCACTCGAACTATTATATTAGCATTTTGAATACAGTTATTGCAAAAGAAGCAGAATATTTAGGTTTTCTATTATTTGTTTCCCCTTTGCAGTGTAGTGTTTGCTAGAACGAAGGAGTACTGCTCTGTTTTCCATGGAAAAATAAGGGTTAGTGATAGAACTTTATTTTTTTTCTTTTCTTGCTTAATAGAGAGAAGAAGCATGGTTTTAAGAGGGCAATGAACTTGTCAATTTTCGAGAATGTATTTTCATATTAGGGACTATTTCGCAGGAAAAGAAGGTCAAGAAGCTTTATCTTGCTCTGGTGTCTGCGCCTGTGCCAATTGGGGTAATTGCTCACTACATGCGTCCGGTTAATATCGCGCCCCGTCTTGTTTCCGAAGGTAACTTTAAATTCATTATCTGTAAAGAACAAATTATACGTTGTTATTTAGTGAGACAAAAATGCATTTTTAGTCCTGCTTGGTTTAACGATGTAGCAATTTTAGTCCCAAGGTTTCAACTTTTTGCCTTTTGGTCCTATGATTTCATATTTTGTTGCAATTTCAGTCATTTGAGGGGAAACAAAATTTTAAATTATATCGCTGAAATTGCAATAGAATTTTAAATTGCAGGACTTAAATTGTTAATTGAAAATATGAGAATTTGTTGTAATTTAACAAAATATTAAATCACAGGACCAAAAGGCGAAAATGTTAGAATCTTGGGATTAAAATTGCTATGGTATTAAACTGGACTAAAATGCAATTTAGCTTGTTTGGTGAAGATGAATGTCAAACCTAGTTTACTTCCATTTATCTTGTATAAATCCCAAACTGTCATGGTGCTTGCAGTTTTCAACAAAGGTTGGCAATTATGCCAACTTGAGGTCCTAGAATGCAAAAAAGTGCCGTGGCCAGACCGCATTACTGAAGAGAAGAATGGGATTGAGGATTGTGGATGGCCTTCTAAAGATTTCGCATACGAGTGTAAAATCAATCTCCTCACGGGACGGACACATCAGGTACTACTACTGATCCCTAATTACAACCACAAAGACATGGTTTAATGTATGATTCTTTGTTTGGCAAAAATGCATTTCTAAGCTTGTCTAACACCATAGCAATTTTAGTACCAAAGTTTCAACATTTTGTCATTTGGTCCTATGATTTAATATTTTGCAAATTCTCAAATTCTCAGATATTTTATTAGCAATTTAAGTCCTGTAATTCAAAATTTCGTTGCAGTTTTTAGTCCTCAAAGACTGAAATGGCAACAAAATATTAAATCGTAGGACTAAAAAGCGAAAAGTTGGAATCTTGAGACTAAAATTGTTATGGCGTTAAACCAATTGGACCCTTCTTTGTTTTCGTCTTGCTTATTATTTTTTTCTTCAAATAATTGTTTGGTTTCTATTGACTTAATTATGGTAAAAAAAAAAAAAAAGATTCGAGCACAACTGGCTGCTTGTGGGGCTCCCTTAGTGGGTGACTCGATGTATATGCCAGCTGCCATTGCTGAGGCTAACTGCCCGGGATTGAACCCGTTTGGCAAGCACAACCAAAACAAGTATGATGAAGACGACGAGGCTAAATCACTAGCTGTCGAAGAATGGATTGCCTGTCATGGCAAGGAGCCGACTGTTGCTATTGGCCTTCAAGCGTGTTATATATCATGGGATGATAACGGGCCCCACACTTACGAGGCTGGTTCACCATGGTGGAGGTAAAAACAAATTACATCATGGAAAATGCTGAAAAAAGAAGTAACCTTTAGCTGGATCTTATTTTTATTTTATATTTTTTTTTTTTTCCGAATAATATCTTACCACCTTTTTTTTTTTTT